TATTATTATTATTATTATTATTACTCTGTAATAATGATTATTCCTAATAATTTCAAAAAACAAATATGTCTTGTAGAAAGTGCAGCCAGAGTGGTCCCTGGAGGCAAGGGTGATAAAACTTCATCTCACACTTCAAGCATGCTGCTGGGAGGGGCTGTTCCTTGGAGAGAGACATGATGCTCAGAAAGGTGGAAGGTCGGCAAAGGAGAGGGAGACCCTCGGTCAGGTAGATTGACACAGTGACTGCTGCAGTGGGCTCAAGTGTGTCAGGAAGGGTGAGGATGGCACAGGATAGAACAGAGTTCAGATTTTGGTATACATAGGTCGCTGTGAGTCGTACTTGACTTAACAAGCACCTCACAACAATAATTTAAGTGATAGCAAATAAAAATTCAAATGTACATTGGAGCTGGGCCCTTTTTCTCACACCCAGCTGTGTATACCCATGGCTCTAGGCTTACCAGAGAAGAGCTGGGTTTTGTGGCTATGTGCTGATAAGAATCCAAATACCAAAGTCCCTTTTCCCCAAAATTAGAGTTTATGATAAAGATATTTCAGCCCTTCTTGTTCCCTCCCATTCCCCTGCCAAAAACAATAACAAGAAAAACTGAAAAGAGATCATTGAAAGTAAAAGCCACCTGGCTCACAGGGCAGAGTGAAAGATGGGGGGCCAGGCAGCTATGTGAGGTCACCCCACAGTGGGACTGTCCTGCATGGGAGGAGAGGGGAGGCCACGCTGTCACCCCTTCCACTCTGGGCGGTTGGGGTTAGTTTGAGCTTTGGCTTGGGCGAGACATCCAAGAATAATGCAAGGCCTGTATGTTAACCTGTCTCACAAATGGTCTCGGGGAGCCTGCAACCAGAGACTTGTCCTACTTTGCCCCCTAAACTCACACCATTTGCTTACCCAGAGGCTCACATTCACTTTCTTTCTCTCACAGAGATGTTTTTCCCCCTAGTTTATTGCTGGACGATAAACTGTATATATTTAATGTGTTTGATTTGTGTTTTTATGAACTCCTAGAGCACTCTGGTGGTGTAATTCATGGGGAGTTGATCTGAGAACTTGATAATAAATAAAGATGACAGATGAATAACTGATGCCTTTGAGCTGTGGTGTGGGAGAAGAGTACTGAATGAACTACCAGAAGAACAAACAGCTCTGTCTTGGAGAGTGTACAGCCAGAGTGCCCCTCGGAGGCAAGGAGGGTAAAGCCTCATCTCATGTATTTGAGGCATGTTGCTACGACGGACTGGTCCTTGGAAAGGGATATTATGCTTGGAAAGGTGGAGGGTCAGTGATAGGAAGGTTCACAACAAGATTGACACAGTGACTGCAGCAATGGGCTTGAGTGTGTCAGAAATGATGAGGACGGCACAGGATAGGACAGGGTTCAGATCTGTTGCTCATAGGTTGCTATGAGTCATATTCAACTCGACAACATGTAACAATTAGAGTTGTACTGATAACTCAAAGGCCAAGCTTCATGGGAGAAAGAGAGCCATTTCCTGTCATGTGATTTGCAACCTTGGAAACCCATTGGAGGATCAGCCATGCATTGTTTCTAACTTGAAGGCAATGAGGATGAGATAGATAGGCACCCATATAATTTTCACAAAGTTTTTATTATTATTATTATTATTACTATACTGATTTATTTACAAAGTTCAAATACATTGTTTTTCACGTCAGATCTTTTCCCATTTCCTTCATCACCACCCTATCAAATTGTGCAACCCTATGATTAACCCCACCCACCCATCCTCAAGCCTCTGCTTCCACCTCCCCTTTGGATCCTCATACTCATTCTACAATAATGTACACCGATGTTGATAGCAGCATCATTCACCATCACAAGAACATGGAAACAGCCCTATGTCTAACCACTATCGAATGGATTGAGAAATGATGGTACACAATGGAATATTACACAGCACGCAGGAGCAATGATTTTGTAAATTATTATCCAACTTGCAAGGAACAGGAAAGCATTACGCTGAGTGAACTAATTCAGTCCCATAAGGAAAAATACTGTATATAAAACCATAATGACTACATTTTTTTAAATTAACATCCTCTAATCGTCAAACATTTCTACATGACTTTTTGGAATTCAATCCCCAATTACTGTTTGCTGCCCTAGGCAATCATCGATTGACTTTCTGTTGTAATTCTCTGCCTTTTTTAGATAAAGGGAAGCACCCGGTATGTGCCTTTTCTTAGTCTTACTTCTTCAACTCAGCATACTATTTTGAGATTTCTATATATATATAGTGGCATATATATCTTTAGTTCATTCATTTTTATCAATAAGGAACATTCTGTTGTATGGCTATATAATTTTTGTCTTCACTTGTTGATGGATATTTGAGTTGTTTCCAGCTTGGGTCTGTTTTAAGAAAATGCTAAGAATATCTTTGTACATGTTTTTGAATAGATGAATGCTTTCTTTTTCTTAGTGAATACCTAGGAGTAGAATGACTGGATCATGTGGTAAATGTGTCTTTAACTTTTCAGTAAACTGCCCAATGGTTTTTTTTTCATAGGATCTGTAATATTTTATGTTCCCATCAACAGTGCACAAGCATTCCTGTTCCTCCACATCATTGTCAACACCAGTGCTCAAGATTGCACATCTTTTATGTTTACTCACTTGAATGGATCGGTACCCTGCAGCCTCACATACGCTGGGCATGTCTGGAGGGTCAAGTCCTTGGGCAAGGATGTCATGCTTGGGGTGGGGGAGTAAAGGGTTAGTAAAGCAGGAGTAGACCCACAGCGAGAGGGAATGCACTGTGACTGCAACAATGCGCTTACCCACGTATTTTGGGTTTTGTTTTTTATTGTGAGGATGGCACAGGACAGGGCAAAGTTCAGATCTGTTTGTATGTGGGGTTGCTGTGAGTTTTGGTCAACTGCACACGGGAACAATTGCAATCACTGGAAATAAAGGAGGAGGCTCCTTAGTTGAGTTTTGGGAGAATAACTGTCATTTATTGTTATGTAAAAAAAGCAAGAGTCTTATTATTGTATGTAGAGAAAAGAGTATATGTGTTTGTTTGTTTGTTTGTTTGTTTGTGTTACATATAGAGACTGTTCTGGCAAGATGAACAAGAAACTGCAAACTAATTGCCCCTGAGGAGAGACTCTTAATGTCTGGGAGACTAGATGAGTGGGAGGCTTTACACATACTCTGTGGTACCCTTTGAATTTTGTGCCATGTGAATGTATCACTTACATGTAAATAAATAAGAACTAAATAAAACTTAAGAATAAATGAAAAGTAAATAAAATTCCAAATACTTGCCTCTTTCCCTGGAAGTTCTCCTGGAGAAATAGAGCCTACGTTGGACATGACTCTGTCTGTAGTGGTCAGTGGTTCATTCCTCGCTCCCAAGGCAGTAGCGTGGCCAAGCCAACCAGAGAGACTGGGCTCAGCTTAAGCTAAATGGTCTCTGGCTGAACCTGTAGTGCTTATGTTGTTTCTGGCCCCTGGGGACCCCGTGTGTGTGAGGAGAATTGAGCTCCACAGCCTTCCCAAAACCTGGTTCTTTTGGAAGCAGATTATCAGACGTTTCTGCTTCTGGATGGACTCAATCCTCCAACCTTGTGGCTAGCAGCTGAGCCCCTTGACCACTTGCATCAGTTAGGGATTCAAAGATCTCTCGAGCCTTGAACACCTTACCTGATGATTTCTGGTGGGAGCCTGAGCCTCCACACAGTCACTGTTGTACCAAGTAATCAGTGAATCTGTGTTTGTTGAATGAATGTGTGACTGTTCACCCCACATCATGTTATCTATCACACAGAGAAGAAGAGTGACCGGAAGAGTGAGTTCCTTCTCCCCGTGGCTCCCAGCAAGCCTGTTGCGCCCATCTTCCTGCAGGGCCTCTCCGATCTCAAAGTCATGGACGGAAGCCAGGTCACCATGACGGTCCAGGTGTCAGGTCTGTCTCCACAGCTCTCTTCTCACAGGGCGTGTGGGAACGGTCATGGCTGTAACAAGGCCATAGTTCTCCACGGAACCTCTGAAACCCACCAGAGACTGGTGGGCAGTGGACCTGAAAGCAGTGGTGGCCTCTCAGCCTCACTCATCTGCTCTCTCTGGGTAGAATTTCCTGTTTTCAAAGTTATATAGTGTGAAAGAAGAAGATATCCACGGGTAGATAGATGGTAGAGGGATTAATCTGAAAGAATAATGTAGACAATATAGTTTAGCTTTTGAAGACTAGTCAAAGCCAGATTATATGAGAATGTCTTGGCTTTTGGAAGACACTCTCAGTTGTTCTGCTCAGATTTGAAGGTGAGAGCAGAGTTCCTTCTAAAACAGGGACAGGGGTCAGAAGAGCTTGTGATTAACATCCCAGTCCTTCCCTGAGGTGAGGGAGAGAAGCCTAAGAGGCTCCTATGGCTGGGAATACCGTGTAGTTTGTCATTGCATATGTACTCGTTGGCCCTGATAACCTCGTTTGTCCACTCATCAGTCCCTTTGGCAGCCTGGCCTCGTTTTTCCTGTGTCTCCAGTTTTGCTTGACTGCAGAAGCGATAAAGTCATGTTGTGTGAGGCCCCACGGGCATATGCTCTGGGGAATCCTAGAATGAACTTGCAGGCTGGAGCCAAGCCTGTGACAATCTGACAGTTCTAGGCAGAGTTCTGTGCTCCTCTCTCACCCCTCTTCCACACCCCGTCCCTGCATCCCATCCCCACACCCCTACATACACACAGCCTAGGAACTAAGTCCTGAAAGCTGCTGTCCTTGTCTCCAGGCCCATGATGTCTCTGAAGAGGACTGGCAGAGGACTGGCACCTCGCCCCAGCCTCACCTCTGCCTTGCTCACTCAGCCTTGCCCAGTTGTTGTTAGTTGCTGTCAAGCCATCAGGGTTTGGGCTGATGTTTTGGGCAGTAGATCAACCAGCTTTTTCTTCTTAGTCTGGAAGTTCCTCGGAAACCTGTTCACATGGCAGCAACATGTACACTTCCATTCAAAGACTAGGAGAGCATGAAGTGCTTTAGCCTGAGTGGCAAAAATGGTTAAACACTCCACTACTTGCTAAAAAGGTGGCTTTCACACTCTCAGTGGTCACTTAGAAAACCTGGTGGGCTGCTTCTGAAAAGCCACTGCCTTGGAAGCCCCGTGGAGCCATGGCGCTCTGGGCTGCGGGGGTCAGAATAAGGCCGAATCCACTTTACAGCAACTAGCAATAACTCCCACATAGAAGGCAGACAGCCTGTCAGTGAACCTCCACCGGCCTTTCCTCTTCTGTCATCACCCAGCATGACTGCTCTCAGCATAGAGGAGCCCCTCAGAGGTGGCCGTTGTTTCCTACCTCAATACATTTCTAGAAACTTCACCCCCTACCAGAAAATGCATGTGTAAAATCTGAAAATTCCTTCCTGTCCTCCTTGAATAATGTTTGGAAATCAGATGCAAACTGGTACCCATCTAACCAGCGTTCATAGTGTTGCAACAAGAAGTGTGAACTGAGCTTTCCTCAGGCTGAGAATTGACAGCGGAGTTGCCATTCTGTGAATGTGGACACACTGTGTGAGGCAGAGCAGAAAGTACAATAGGTTTGAACCCAGTCACCCTGTTATCACCGGCATTACCAATCACTATGAATTCTGATAATAGAAACCTTTCTTTATAGGTTACTTCTCTTTTCATCATATTTTTCTCTTCTGGTCTCTCTTGGTTCCCAAACAAGTTATTTAATAATAGTTATGTTGAGCATTTCTTCAGGGCTCTCTATTGCGAGCAGCTACTCACATTGCTGCTGGGGGTCACTATATGAATGTGTTCAGTGCTTTCAGCCAAGCTGTGAGGTAGAGATGTGACAATCCCCAGTTCACAGCTCGGGCAGCTGGAGCGTAGAGTCTGGGGAATTGTGTAGCAGAGGGCTGCCACCTGGCTCAGAGATGCACCTCCCTGACCATCCGTGAGCCCCTCTGACACTCTCTCCTCCTGGCCCAGGGAAACCACCTCCTGAGGTCATCTGGCTTCACAATGGGAAGGAGATCCAAGAGTCAGAGGACTTCCACTTTGAACAGCAAGGCTCCCGGCACAGTCTCTGTATCCAGGAGGTGTTCCCAGAGGACACGGGCACGTACACCTGTGAGGCCTGGAACAGTGCGGGAGAGGTCCGCACCCAGGCCGTGCTCACGGTGCAAGGTGAGACCGACCAGCTGCAAGACTGTAGCTGTAAAGGGGCGGGGGTGCTGCCACGCTTCTGCCTAAACTATTTAAAGGGGGAAACCACGTGAACCTACTTTACTCCCACCAAAGATCCTTTGCTTATTAGTCCCATCCAACTTCCTAGACTAGCTGCGGGAATCTGCCTCAAGTCCCTGCTCCCCCTGGATATAGAATATTAAAAGAAACCTTGTAGTGTTCCCAACAATTTGGCACAGTTAGCTCTTCAAGGTGAATTATGAGCATATTAGGATATTTACCTCTTGAGAACATATATTTAAGAAGAGAGACAAGGAAGCACACGTAAAGCAAGCTGCTGTTGTTGTTAGTTCCCATCAAGTCAACTAGAACTCATAACAACCCTGTCTACAACAGATCTGAGCCTTGGGCCGTTGTTACAGTCATCATGTCAATCCATCTGTCTTTTTCTCAGGATTGGCCCATCCTGAACATGCCCAAATTATATAAGATGACCTTTCATCAGCCTTACCTCTAGGGAGCACTCTGGTTGCACTTTCTCCGAGACCTATTTGTTCATTTGCCAGTCTATGGGATAGTCAGTATTCTTCAACAGCACAGTTAAAGGCATCGATTCTTCTGTTAATCATATGCATCTGATCTGTTGTTGTTACGTACTGTCAAGTCGAGTACAACTCATAGCAACCTTGTGAACAACAAACCTGAACCCTGTTTGTCTCATGCTGTCTCATCCCTGACATATTTCAGCCCATTGCCGTAGTCATTGTGTCAAGCTATCATGTTGGGGATCTTCCTGTCTTTCACAGATACGCCACCTTTCCAAGCATGAAGTTCCTTTCCAAGGAATGGTGCATCTGATATTGATCATTAGATTCTGTCTAATGTCCTATGTACCTTCTCAGCTGCCTTTTCTTACATGGTGGTACAAATCCTTGTTGCTATTGTCCTCTGAGAATGTCGCAGAGATAGGCTCATAACAGAAAGCATGTGCTCTCGCTGAGTACCCAGTAGAAGTGATTTCTAACAAGCTGTCCTTTGATAACCTGCTTTCTTCCAGCCCTTCACCACCAGGAGGGTTGAGTGGACATTTTCTGCCAAACGACTACCCTCTAGAGAGACTGTTGTAGTTTGGAGTCGTCTCGTTGGTTACAACTCATAGCAACCTCCTGTAGCAGAGTAGAAATGCCTCACAGCGTTTTATAGGCTGTAATCTTTGTGGGAGGCATAGTCCATAGAGTGTTGTGCTGTTACCCAAAAACCACAACCCTCTGGTTCAAATCCTCCTGTGACTCCATAGGAGAAAGATGGACAATCTCCTCTCCTGCAATTTACAGTCTTGGAAACACACTAGGGTGTCAGTTCTGAGTTGGTTTTGACTTGACAGAAATGAGTGAGTGAGTGAATCTTTATGGGGACAGACGCATGGGTCTTTTTTACTATGACTCAGTTGGTGGGTTTGAACCACTGACCTTGCAGTTAGCAGCCAAACATTTAACCATTGTGCCACCAGAGCTCCTTCTCTCTCACTCCTCTCTTTGCCCATTTCCAGAGCCTCACGATGGTACCCAGCCCTGGTTCATCAGCAAGCCCCGCTCAGTGACAGCCAGCTTGGGCCAGAGTGTCCTCATGTCCTGCGCCATTGCTGGTGACCCCTTCCCCACCGTGCACTGGCTCCGAGACGGCAAAGCCCTCTCCAAAGACAGTGGCCACTATGAGGTGCTGCAGAACGAGGATGTGTTTACTCTGATTCTGAAGAATGTGCAGCCTCGGCACGCCGGACAGTATGAGATCCTGCTCAAGTGAGTCTGCCCCCCCCCACAAACCCCCCTTAACCACATCCTACAAACTCCCAGCTCTCCCTATCTAAGACTGATTGACCCTTGTCCTCCAAGCCCAGCTCATTCAGCGTGGGGATAGAAAACTAGACAAAGCTTAGACTGGTGCAGGGCTCTGCCGTCAAGGGCAAGAAAGTGCAATTCTAGTGCCACTGACAAAAATCCCAATTTTTTTTTTCTCGCTCAGGAAGCAGACATTTATTGAGAACCTTCCTTCTTAGCGTGTACCTGAGTCTTGTGTTTTGTTTGCTCTCTTTATTTGGAGAATGACAATATAAAGGAGAGAAGAATGGGTTCATAGTGGAAATGCAAGAGGATAGGAGTGGAGTGATCACTCCAGTCCTTAGCGCCTTAGAGCAGCAAATATTTATTGTCTTGCCACGTTTCTGAGTCGAGAATTTGGAAGTAGCCTCGCTGATTTCAGCTCAGGTCTGCATGACAGTGTAGTCCAGATGTCAGCAGGGACAGCAGACTCTGAAGACTTGACTAAGTGAGGCCGGAGGATCCACTTTCAGGCTCGCTCACCTGGCTGCCATCAAGGGCCTTAGCACCTTGCCACGTGGACCTTGCCAACAGGTCCGCTTCAGTGTCTTCATGACCAGGAAGCTGACTTTCCCAGGAGCAAGTGATCCAGATGGCAGAACAAGCTGGAACTAACAATGACTTTAATGACTGGTCCTTGCAAGCCACATCCAGCATCACTTCTACCATACAGTCACTAAGTACAGCCCACTCTCCAGGGAAGGCTAATTAAGATTACCTGGAAGAGTGGAGTAACAAAGATTGTATAAATGGCTTAACTCCAACACAGGAAGCTTAAATAGCCCAGTCTATTTGTTCTCACTGTTTTATGGTCTTATTAGGTTACCTACGCTCCATGAGAGCAGCTGGAGTTTCATGTGTCTGGGGAACCCTGGAGTCTTAGTCTGTAGGGATTTACACTGTTCACCCAAAGACCACACCTCTCCGCTAGTTCGAATCCACCAGTGGCTCCCACAGACAAAGATGAGCATTCTCTTCCCATGCACTTTACCACTTCAGAAACCTACTAGACGGTCAGCTGGGAATCGGTTCTGACTCAACAGCATGACTTTGGCTTTGAGAATAGTGTCTAATGGTAAACATCTGATAGATATTTCTTAAATTAAAATTATCTAGTTTTTCTAGCTCTCACAATTCCTTGCTGACTGTGAATTGATGGGGGCTGGATGCTGGGGTTGCTTTCAGCTTTAAAAAGAGCCCTTGTCCACCATGATAGACGGAAGAGATTGAGGTTGTTAACAGTTACAGCTTGCTTGGCACCAGCAGCCAGGAAATTAAAAGATGAGTCACTTTAGGAAAATCTGCTGTCAAGGATCTTTCCAGTTTTGAGAAGCAACGATGTCAGTCTAGAAACTAAGGTGTGCCTGATCTGGGTCATGGTCTTCTCAATTACTTGCTATGCATCAGAGAGCTAGACATTGACTAAAGAAGACAGAAGAAGAATTGATGCCTAGAGTTATGGTGCTGGAGAAGAGTCTTGAACATACCAGGACCGCCAAGAAAACAAATAGGTTCTGTCTTGGAGAGGGTGAAACCAAGTTTCTCCTTGGAGGCTAGGATTTTGAAGCGCCGTCTCACATATTTTGATAATGTAGTCAAGAGAGAACTTGGAGAAAGACATCATGATTAGAAGGGTGGAAGGACAGTGCAGGAGAGGAAGACCCTGGATGAGATGGATTGATATAGTAACTGGGTCAATGCAGGTAAATGTGTCAGAATCAGTGAGATTGGCTCTGGACAAGGGCAGGATTCAGAGCTATTGTGCATAGGGTCACAATGAGTCGCAGGGGACTTGATGGCACAGAACAACAACTACATCTTGACCCCATATGAAAGAGACTGTGTCTCCCCCTAAGGATAGTTAGACCTGTCCTGGCTCAGAGGTCCGATCACTGTTTAGAAGACTTCTCTCTCGGAGCTCTGGTGGCCTAGTGGCAAGGAGCTGAAACTACAATCGCAGAGGCGCACGGTTCGAATCCACCAGATGCTCTGCCAGGGAAGGAGGGACAATCTCCTCCTGTACCAGTCAGATCTGATTTGATGGTACACGCGCGCGCGCACACACACACACACACACACACACACACACACACACACGCCAGAAGACTTCTCTCTCCAACTTGAGTGTTCCTTCATACTGAATCCATAAACGTTCAAGACTCTGAGTTACAGATCATTCTACCACCATGATGTAGCCTAGGCCACTAGTAAGTGCAAAACCCAATATACTCTGCACCTATTTGGGTTCTTTCTGGGTACATTGATTTGCTATGTAGCAAGCAACCTCACTGTAAAAACAAAACACTGAACCATTCCAGTCGGTGGTTTCCCAGTTATTGCAACCACATGTGTACAGAGTGGAACCACTCCATGGGGTTTTCAAGGTGGTGAAATTTCAGAAGCAGATTGCCTAGTCCTCCAAGGGAAGGTCAAACCACCAGCTTTTCCATTAATAGCCCAGAATTTAACCATTGGTGCCACCCAGGGACCATCCCCAGTGCTTTGTCTCTTTGAAAAGTAGCCACTTACTGCTTCTTAGGGGTGTACTGGCAAGTTTGCTGGAAATTCACCTAAGCAAAGTCCTGTGTGGCTTTCAGTGGAGCTCAGGGACACAGCAGCTGGCAGCTGGTGGGATGGTTTTGGGCTGGGTGGTCCCCCTCCTATCAGGAGCACTGTGCTCAACTTCCTTTGCTTTATGTTTAAACTAGTATTATCAGAAGGCAAGCTGCCACCAAAATAACTATGTTGCTGTTATATGCCATCGAGTTGCCTGCAACTCATAATAACCCTATGTACAACAGCCCTAAACCCTGTTCTATCCCTTGCCAATCTTATTGTCTCTGACACATCTAACCCCATTACCCCAGTGACTGAATCAATCCTTCTCATCAAGGGTCTTCCTCTCCTGCGCTGTCCCTCCACCCTACCAAGCATGATGTCCCTCTCCAAGGACTGATCCCTCCTTGCAACATGTCCAAAGTATGTCAGACAGAGCTTCAGAATCCTTGCCATCCTGGCTCCACCCTGAATAAACCACCCAGGATGAACTTGTTTGTTCTCCTAGCAGTCCATGGTATATTCAATACTCTTCTCCAGCTCTACAGCTCAAAGGCATCAACTCTCCTTTGATCATCACTAGTCATTGTCCAATTCTCTGATGCATAAAGTAATTGCAAAGACCATGGCCTAGATCAGGCACTTCTTAGTGTCCAGACTGACATTTTTGCTCTTCAGTACTTTAGAGTGGTCTTTGACAGCAAACTTTCTCAATGCAATTTGTCTTTTAATTTCCTGGCTACTGGTTCCAAGAGTATTGATTGTAGAGCCAAGCGAACTGAAGCTGTCAACAATCTCAATCTCTTCACAATCTGTCATGATGCTGCCAATCAGCCTAGTGGTAAGAATATTTGTTTTCTTGATGTTGTGCTTCAATCCATATTGAAGGCTACAATCCTTGACCTTGTGCAGCAGGTGCTTCAGGTCCTCTTCAGTTTCAGCAAGCAGGGTTGTGTCATCTGTGTTAATGCAGATTCTTGATGAGTCTACCTCCAATCCTGATGCCATACTTCTAATAGAACTCATCCTCTTGGATAATCTGGGTCACGTATAGATTGAAAAGACATGGAGATAGGACACATCCTTGACACATACCCTTCCCAATTTTGAACCATGCAGTGTTTCCTTGCTCTGTTTTGGAGACTGCCTCATGGTCAAAGTATAGGTTTTGCATAAACACAATCAAGTGTTCTGGGATTCCCATTCTTCTCAGAGTCAGCCACAGTTTGTTATGATCCACACAGTCAAATGTCTTTGCATAGTCAATGAAACACAGACAGACATTCCTCTGGTAATTTCTGCTTTCAGCAAAGATCCATCCCTAGTGTCACAATCCTTTCTAAATCCAGCCTGCACTTCAGGCAGTTCTCTGTTGATGTGTAGTTCCAGTCATTTTTGGAAAATCTTCAGCAGAATCTTCCTTGCATGTGCTATCAACGATACTATTTGATAATTTCCACACTCTGTCAGATCACCTTTCTTTGGAATGGGAGCAAGTATAGATCTCTTCCAGTCAGTTGGCCAAGTGATTGTTCTCCAGATTTCCTAGCACAACTTGGTGAGCACGTCCAGGGCAGCATCTTTTTGTTGAAATATGTCAATTGGTATGCCATCAATTCCTGGGGCCCTGTTTTTGCCAATTCTTTCAGAGTAGATTGAACTTCTTTTCATCACCGCAGGCATTTGCTCATATGTTGTTTCATAAAATTCTTTTGTGTCCATCAATTCCTTTCGATACAATGACTCTGTATACTCTTTCCATCTTCTTTTAATGCTTCCTAGATAGTTTAAAATTCTGCCCAAAGCATCCTTAAGTATTATAACTCGAGGTTTGAATTTGTTCTTTAGTTCCTTCAGCTTAAGAAATGCTGAGCTAGTTCAGCCCTTTTGATTTTCTGATTCCAGCTCCTTGGACATTTCATTGCAGTACTTTACAGCCTTTTACTCTCCTCTGTTATTGTTGTTTGCCAGTGAGTCAAAATCGATCCATAGCTGACCATCTAGTGGGTTTTCAGAGGCAGTAATCCCATGGTATGTGATTACCCATCTTTCTCCCGCAGATCAGCTGGTGGATTCAACTGGCATGCCTTTAGGATTGCAGCGAAAATTCTTACCACTAGACCACCAGAGCTCCCTTTTTCTCTCCTGGCCTAGGAAAAATAATGGGAGGTGATGATAAGTGAAGATCCTTGATTTCTGTGAGGAAGGAGTAGTATTTTGAGACCGTGCTCATGTTAATCAGGAAAATATCCTAAAAAAGACGTTCTTTCACTGGGATTTTGAGGCTGAGTGGAATGAAGAAGCTAAGGCTAGGAAAGGGAGCTCTGGTGGCCTAGTGGTAAGAAACTGTGCTGCAATCCCAAGGG